GTGCCGCATCCAGTGTAGACCATAGATATGTATATATATCTATGGTGTAGACAGCATCACTTATTATAATGAGTTCTATAGTATTTTGTCACTCGCGTCCGAGATATCACAAATCCCGGAAAATATGCATTGTAGTCCAAACGAGTCGATCGTTGTAGTTTTTGAAAAGTTAAATAAATTAGCTTTCTGTTAAATAAAATATCTCCTTTTGAATTGGACTTTGAGCTTTGTATCTTTGCAGATCTTTTTTATGCTCAAACAGCAACATTACAGACTAACTAAAGTTGAAAAAGTGAAAAAGCATAATAGGACCCCTTTAAGAATAGCGTGTGAAACAGTATACAATAAGCAACTTCAGAGTAGTATGCTACAGTGTTGTCACATGACAAACACTGAACCTTAATTCAGCACAGCTTTCGAGGCTGTTACCTTACAAATAAATGTGTCAACCATTCTTTTTTATTCAAAGGCTTGTTAATTAAGGGGATTCATATTAGTAAACAATTCTATATTGCTCAATTAAACAATTAATTAACTTTACATATTGAACAGAACTGAATCAACACTGGGCTATCTTTAACTGAATAATGATATTGTTTTCTTTGACAAACACTGAACCTTAATTCAGCACAGCTTTCGAGGCTGTTACCTTACAAATAAATGTGTCAACCATTCTTTTTTATTCAAAGGCTTGTTAATTAAGGGGATTCATATTAGTAAACAATTCTATATTGCTCAATTAAACAATTAATTAACTTTACATATTGAACAGAACTGAATCAACACTGAGCTCTCTTTAACTGAACAAAGTTTTTTTTTTTTGGCAGTTACACTAAGTGGAAAAAGTGATATATTCTAGTTACACTAAGTGCAAATAATGATACATTTTGTTTACACTAAATTAGCAGTATTTTCTTTAGCAATAGCCTAAGTGTAAATAGTAGTTAGGCGGCAGATATTTATACTTCAGTACTGTAGTACATTATGTAAGGGATAATCAACGGCTTGCCCTGCATTAAAGGATTTTAAATGCTTATCCCGCTTATTCCATGGTCATTTGCAAGCATTGACAATCTAAACTGTTTATGATGTTAGCAGCACAATATTTAACCTGAAGAGTAAAAATGACAGTTATTTTTGTCAGTTATGGCTCGTTAGCTCTTGCATTCTGCCCGCTTCAAATCAGATACAGAGATGAAATAGTGTGGTAAGACACATTTATTTTGAGAGAGAGAGAGAGAGAGAGAGAGAGAGATGACAGTTGTGTGTATGAGTTACTTGTGTCTGCGCGTCTCTCTACAAACTGTGAAGCTGTGTAGTTACTTCGCAGCACGATCTGCAATCTCCGACCTCTCTCCCTCTCACTGGGCCTCATTCATGAAACACGATCAGAACTAATTTTTGTGTAAATCATTCGGAAAGTCGTTCTGACATAAATTTTCGGATGGATTCATGAAAATGTTCGTATTTTGAAAATGTTAGTTGGTACGAAATAAATGTACACCTGCTCCCTACCATGTGTAAATGGTGCATAAAACATTAAAACGTTCTGTATTCTTTTAGACAAACTGATGACACTGCTTTTTTTTATGCACTATGTATTATAATGATATTTAACGAGTTTATTTGTCTTTTTTTTCCTGTTTTTTACTCTTTAACTTTGGGTAAAACGCAGAGCTCGTCACTGTCCCTTTTTACGTCATTTGACTTGATCGGAAACGTGCCGTAAAGATTAAGGTACAATCTATGTCCTACTAACGATACTGTTTTTAGATACAGAGCAATAGTTTGTAGTTTACACTAACATGTATATAAGTACATATACAAGTGTTACATTTATAATTACTATCCCCCACCTCCAGTTCACTCATGCATTTGAAGATGAAATGTCACGTGGAGCGCATTGCGTTGTGGGAAAG